TGACTTCATCTCGATGTTCCCCAATCTTTTCAAAATAGACAAAGGAATCAAATTAATGCTAGAACCCAAATCGACCAATCCCTTACCGACATAAATATCACCAATGGTAACTGGTAAAGTAACCCTTCCCGGACCGCTTTCCTTCTTTGGTAGAGTTCGTTGAATGATATTACTACAACTTGCATTAACCATGATAACTTCTTGATCCGTTGATCTTCTTTTTTTTGTAAGGATATCTTTCATGAACTTTGCATACTTTGGCATTTGTTCCATAGCTTCGGAAAATGGAATATTTATTTGCAATTTCTTAAAAATATCCATGAATCTAGCATAGTGCCTATCATTATCCTTCCTGGAAGGAGCATGAGGATATGGTAAATTTTGAACCAGTAAAGTAGCAACTTTCTCTTTCTTGGTTCTTTTCAACTTCTCATTTTCAACTAACTCTTCCTCGTGATTATTTTCTACTACAATCTCTTCTTCAAGCTCCTTTTCTGCTACAACTTCCTTAATTTCAATTTCTTTACCAGTCCCATTTCCGACTACTCTACCACTCCTAGTTAATATTGCCTTGTAATGCTCCTTAGGATTAGATTGAGTATTTTCCAAAAATGATGATCCGACATTTTGATCGGCCAATTGCTTGGCTAATTGCCCCACTTGAGTCTCCAAATTTTTGATATCCACTTCATTACTCTTTTGATTTGCCATAGATGCTTGCATGAATTGAGCGAGAGTGTCTTGTAAGTCTGAGCTTTTAGCTTGAGGTTGTGAATTTTGATTTGTGTTTTGATAAAAACTTTGTCTATTTTGATTGTTGGCATCGTGTCTCCACCCTGTTGATAACCTTGGTTAACTCTTTGATGATAACCTTGGTTATTTTTATATGATTGCCTTTGTTGGTATCCTTGATCTTCATTTCCATGTAATTAGCTTCCTCTTCAACCGGAGGACAAAATCCGGTTTGATGATCACCCTTGCATAACGCACAACAAGAAATTTGTTGTATTTGATTGCTATGTCTTTCTTGCATTTCTCTTAGTTGTTGAGGGAGCTTTGCCATTTTATTTGTTAGTTCTTCCGCTTATTGAGCGAATAATTTGTTTTGGGCTAAAAGAGCTTCATTTGATCTTGAATCACTTGCCTCCTCTCTCTTTTGAACCATACTTCGATCATGTTGGACTTGGTGGTCGTTCCTTTCCATTCTTTCAATAATTTCAACCGCTTCTTGCATTGTCTTTTCCATAAGGGATCCTCCCGCCGTAGCATCTAACAAAAGCTTTGGTTGTGGTTGTAGTCCATTTCGAAAAATATGCATTTGGGTAATGACATCAAAACCATGACTCGAACATTTTCTCAACATAGATATGTACCTTTCCCAAGCTTCATTTAATGACTCGACTCCACCTTGAGAGAACACCGATATAGCCCTCTTGGCTTCCAAGAAACGTGATTGTGGGAAAAACCTTTCAATAAGTTTTTCTTTAAGCCTATTCCAATTTGTTATGAGTTGATTAGGTTGGTCAAGATACCAATCCTTAGCTTTACCGATCAACGAATATGGAAATAATCTTTTAAACATTTGTTCTTCATCCTCCTCTGGAGCTCCTATAGAATCCTCTATCTCATAGATTTTGTGAGATAAGTGTAAGGGTCTTCACGATCTAACCCAGTGAAAGGGTTATGATATAGCAATTGTAGAATTCCAGTTTTCATTTCTGAGTGCCTTTGGTCTACATTTCTAGCAAACCGAGCATTCAACCTTGGATTATTTGCACATGGAACTCTTGGTGGATTTGCTACCATAATTTCTTCTATATCTTGGTTAAAAGGTATAGCAGAAGTGGACACCTATCCTCTTTCTCTTATTTCTTTCGCTATCTTTCTCCTTCGTCTATTCTTGCTATTAAGTTTTCTGCAAGTCCTTTCGATTTCAGGGTAAAAAAGGAGTTGATCTTCAGAAATCTTCCTCGCATAAACTAAAGTCTGAAAACACTAACAAAACAAGTGAAAAACAAAAGATATTATTAAGATAAAATAACTTAAAACACTTAAACTATTGTAATGCTTTCAATAGTCAAACACCAATCCCCGATAACGACGCCATTTTGTTATAACATATTTTCAACAGTATTTATATTATCATTTTCCTCAGGGATTGGTGTGATATTAATGTCGTTCTATAGTTTTAGTGACTTTAAGTGTTTGAATCATAAATAAAGTTTTGGAATTTGCTTTTAGTAACAAAAGATTAAGTTTCATGCATTATATTGTGATTTGGATAAACGAGAGATTTTTGTTTGAAAAGACTTGTTTTGATAAAAGGCATGTCAAGATTATTTTTCATAAACCTATTCCAAATATATTCAATTAATCACGCATATGAACTAATTAATGATCGATACATTCACGTATCCTCTCAACATTTCTCATGTCTAAGCAATATTGTGAGTATTATCATGTTAATCATTAAATGACCTCTCAACCTAACTATTAACATGATAATCTTTAAAGCTTGATACAAGTGAATACTAACTCACAAATCTATGTCTAGAGATTGTTTATTAGTAGATGAATATCTTAGGTCAAGCTTGGAACTTACTTCTCAATAATGATCCAAACCATAAAAAGAACAATGATAACAAAGATATTCAACATGTATTAATCATAAACCAAGTTCATATACAAAATGATCAAAAGAAATACATAAAGTCTAGGTTAACTATTTCTAACCTTGACACAAAATATGCTTAGCTACTCATGGTCATGATACATTGATTAATAAATAAGCAATGAATGTTGATGAACATCAATCTTCAAGTCTCTTTGATTCAAGATGCAAGAATGTTTTTTTCTCTCTAAAAAACAAAGAACAAGGGTTTCTATGTTATGATATATAGAACAAGGATTTCTCTTTCCTTAATGAGGTTTTTATTCATCCAAAGTATAAAAGTTGGTGAAAAGTTTCCCCAAAATATGGCAAAAGTAGCCAAAAAGTATGACAATCTGCACACTATCGTCGGACGATCATAAAGCATCACCGGGCGACGCTAGCTAGATGGCACACGTGACCAGCTAGACGTGATAAACAAGAAATAAAGTATCTATCATCACCAGGCGACAAGGATGCTTCGCCAGACGATCCTTCTTTCGCCAGGTGATCCACGAGCGAAACATTACAAAAGCGAACCAAAAAATCCACCCTTTCTTCACAATTTTCGTCGGACGGTGCATCCTGTCTCCGAGCGATCCTTTACAGAAACATAACATTTTCTTCCTTGTATAAAAAGCAGAAAGTTTACATTTGGCCGTCTTATCTGCACAAAATTTGCTGAAACACTAACAAACAAATTAAAACATTCAAAATTATTTGTATTCATGCAAAATGACTTGAAATAAGTGTTTATCTTAATTAAAAGTAAAATAAAGGGTTTGAAAGTGTCAATAATTGATATGAAATTTATTCAAAAGTTGACACAACATAAGACTGCCACTATCTTTCGCTTCCGTTTGTAATCTGCTTCCATAATATCAACAATTGGCCTCAGAGTTTGTAAGATGTGAACCTGTGTTAAAACTCTGATTTTGTAAAAAAGGAAATGTTTTTGAAAATGGTTTTAGGGAACAATCTATTTATCCCCTTTCTAGACCATTCAATCCCCATATCCTCCATCAACAACCTACTCATTTTTATGGTCGATTTTTGTTAGCAGGTAGGAATCTAGTCAAAATTTATTTCAGTTGAGCACTTCCATGCAATGGTCAGGCAAAATCAACCAACAAAATCATACTTTTCAGGATGAGAAAGAAGTTGAAGGAGTTAAAAGAACTTTGGGTCGAGCTTCTTCACGAATTATTATGGTCATATTACACAATCCCACATTCAACAACCAAGGAGACCCTTTTCATAGTGGTTTATGGTTCAAATGCAATGCTCTCGATTGAAATCAACATGTCCATGTCACTGACCAAGCTAACAAAATTCTGGCTCAAATTTAAGAATTTACGGCAAAGCAGAAAACCTGAAAGAGATATAATTCTAAAGTGAAACCTAAAATAATGAAAGAATATTAAAATAGGTAGTGGCGTCGACCAAAAAGAGAAAATTACTCCTTAATTGGGGTGACTTTTTCGAGTACGACAAAAAACTGTCTCAAGAGCATATAAGTTTGAAAAGGAGAAGAGGTTCCCAAAATTTAGAACATTGGAAACTTAAAACACTATTATAATTGAACAAAACTTCTAGAGCAAAACATTATGTAACTTAAAATTTATGATCAATAAAGAAAAAAACATTTAGAGTGACACTTTTTTCTTCTTTTTTGATTACAAATAGGGCACAACAGTCCAACTGAAAGAGAACTATACAAAAGTCAAACAGAGAACATCAGTCCCCATTAAATCATCATGTAGCAATTGCCTCAAGAAATCTGAGCACGAAACAAAGAAGAACATTGTACCATTATGATCTTCTTCACTCTTAGCTAGAGCATTAACACAACAATTTACCTCTAGATATACATAGGCTGACAAAATAGGTCCGACCCGTTAGGCATGCCCGTTTTGCTTGCACTTTAGTACGGAGCGAACCAAGAATTTAGACCCTCATTCTTTAATTTGACGGCTTTGCTCCATTCCATTTTCTTCGCAGACTTTTATGGTTATGAACATTAATATAAAATTGACTTTTTTGATATATTTGACAATTAATATATTTAGTCTATATATAAACTAAATACATTAATTGTCAAATATACCAAAGAAATTAAATTTCTAGAAGAAGTATCCTTTTGTCTTCCTCTTAACATAAAAGTTTGTCTAATCCTAAGTTAAAATTTATTTTGTACGAGTCAAAAAAAAAAAAGATAAATTATTTTGTCAGTAATTGGGGTTAACCCAATCAAAATTCAGTGCTAGCCAAGATAAAAACCTTTCTCATTCTACACAGCCGTGGACTCACTTCATCTCGCCGGCAAACGAAGATTCAGTTACAGTCCAAAATGACGGAAGATCACAAATCGCCGAAACTTCCAGTGGAAGGCAAACGCAACATCCTCATCACCAGCGCTTTGCCCTACGTCAACAACGTCCCTCATCTCGGCAACATCATCGGATGTCAGTAACTTCTCCTCTTTCTTTCAACACCATTGCTCAATTTTCATATCATAATTCAATTCAATTCAAATTCGTTCGTTCATGTATTCGATTGAAACAATTTATCCATTTCTCGTTTGATTTTGACCAGGCGTGTTGAGTGCCGATGTGTTTGCTCGGTACTGCCGGCTTAGGGGTTACAATGTTATTTACATGTGTGGTACTGATGAGTACGGGACTGCAACTGAAACTAAAGCATTGGAAGAGAATTGTTCTCCCAAACAAATTTGTGACAAGTATACTTTCTATTTCAATTCCAATTTAATCTAGCTTGCATCTGTTTCTTTGCTTATTGTAAATTCAACTTGTATCTTGTTCACCATTTAGTTCTCTTTGGATAAACAACTTAATTACAACTTATAGTGTAAGTGTGTATGTGCTTATGTATATAATAAGCCTTTGACCTTGTTTAGCAAGACCAATTTTTGAGCTTATATCGGATAACTAGAATTGACACTATTAGAGTGTGTTCGGGTAACACTTATAGTAGAAAAGAAGATGGAAATAGACTTAGGTGGTTTGACCATTTAGAGAGAAAGTGACGCAGTCGGAAGCCTCAGGGAATAGCAAGCACTAAACCTAGAATGAAAACACAGGATTCCAGAGCAATAATCCTTATGGCCACACCAAATGTCTTTAAATACAGAAAACAAATAAACCCTAATGGACTTAAAAGAGACCCTAATGGGCTTTTAATCCAAAACAGAAATAAAACTAAAAATTGCTTAAATATTAAAACTAAAATTGCTTAAATATTAAAATGTTTTCCGACGCGCGATTTCTTATTCGATACGCGTAGCCAACCTTCCTACATAAGAAAGACTATAAATTCTTTGGTAAGGAGAGTGGCTCAGATGAAGTGGAGTCAAATAGCTAGAGGTAGATGAAGGCTTATAAAAACTATAAGAGAAGTTATTAAGAAATATCTCGAGACTGATGATATGGATATAAGCATGACCCTGAATAGAACATTATGGTGGAAGTTGATCCATGTAGCTGACTCCACTTAGTGTAATAAGACTTGGTTGTTCTATACGGGATAACTAGCTTATATAACCAAAATAGTCTTGTTTGTTATCAATTTTTTCTAACAAGCTTACAGCGTTTTTTGATATGCTGCGACTTCATGAAGTGTATCATTTTTATCTCAATTCTACTCTTGTTATCTTCATTGGGAAATAATTAAACATTAATTAAAAATATTTTTTATGCCATTTTATATTTATCACTTAGTTCAATCCCTAATTTCATCCAACACGGCCAATTCAATCAACTAGCTTATCCGCTATGCTATCAAATATTTTTTTACCAAACAGGGCCAAAATAAACTCAAACAGTTTTCATATAACTCTAGAGAGCTTATGGGAATAAGCTGAAAACAAGTTATGGACACATCATTATAAGTTGTTTTTATATGTTTTTCCAAACAGTTTACTGAATCTTTATGTCAGTAACTAAACTCAAATAAGCCAATCCAACCATACTGTTATTTATTTTCTGGTGTTTAATGGCTCAGAGCATTGTCATTGTTGCTTCACATCACTAGCCCCTAATCGTTGGCAATATTGGCTCAAGGGATTGCAAGTCTATATTTCATTATGTGGTTATAACATTGATATCGGTTAGAGTTGTTAATGTTAGATATTTCTGCACTTTTAATTTTGTGTTTTTGATCCAAGGATTTTAGACTTATCTGCCACTCTTTAACTCCTCTGTGCTTAGATATCATGCTATTCATAAGGAGGTCTACGACTGGTTCAATATAAGTTTTGATAAATTTGGGCGGACCTCATCTCCTGAGCAAACTGAAGCTTGCCAGTCAATTTTCAAAAAGATATTTGATAACAAATGGCTGTCCGAGAGAACAGTGGAGCAGGTGTTCAGTTGTCTTTTTTGTTTCTTTGATTGAAGTCTATTTATTTTATTGGTTATTGTTGGCATCATTCGTCTATCATATTTAGTTGAAAATTGAAGAGTTGTTTTCTGAGTCAAATTTTTTGTATGGGTCTTTATTATGCTTTACTCAAACGCCTATCGAATTTCAGCTTTACTGTGATACATGCGAAAGGTTCTTAGCCGACCGGCTAGTGGAAGGTACCTGCCCAACTCCAGGCTGTGAGTATGATTCTGCTCGAGGAGACCAATGTGACAAATGTGGAAAGCTTCTGAATCCGACAGAGTTGAAGAATCCCAGGTGCAAGGTAGTAAACCCCCCTCCCTAAATTTTGTCTCAATGTTTTGCTAGTTAATTAACTAATTATATCTTTCCCATTCGTGGAATCATTTCTGTGCTGCATGTTTGATTTTTCGTGGATGATCTCAGGGTATTGAATTTTTTTGTAGCTTTAATTTTCTATGTTATCTTTCTTTAGTTCTTCTTTTTGATACTGTGTTTAAATTACAGTTTTTGAAGTAGACATGTTTATTTACATGTCATATTCCAGTACAAACTTTTAGTTGTTTGGGAGTTTAAACAAGGATTTTAATGTGAGATCATTTGGCGTCTGTAACAGGTTTGTAAAAGTAGTCCCCGCCTTCGTGATACAGACCACTTATTTCTTGAGCTCCCTCTGTTGAAAGATAAATTGGAACAATACATCAACAAGATGTCCGTGGACGGATCATGGAGCCAGAATGCTATTCAAATAACAAATGCATGGCTCAGAAATGGATTAGAGCGACGTTGTATTACCCGAGATCTGAAGTGGGGGGTTCCTGTTCCGCATGAAAAATACAGTAACAAGGTTAGCTTTTCCATTGGGTCTTTCAAAATGTAAGTTGTTTTCTCATTCAATAAATTTATAAATTATTTTCATTAAATGAAAAGGTTTTCTATGTTTGGTTTGATGCACCTATTGGATATATATCAATCACGGCATGCTACACACCTGATTGGGAGAAATGGTGGAAAAACCCAGAGAATGTGGAGTTGTTTCAGTTTATGGGAAAGGACAACGTGCCATTCCACACTGTAAGTTATTATCTTTATGCAATTTGAGAACTTCATAGCTATCATGAGCAGTGTTAAATAGTGGCATTATAGTGTGCCGAATTTTGATGAATATTTATGAAAACCCCTGTGCTATCTTAGTTTTTCTATTGGAGCAATAGCGGCCGCTATTCTAGGTTTGGCCATAGCAGATGTAGCATGTGAGCTGAAGAGTCAGCATGTGAGATGCACATGACCTATTTTTAAAATAGAAAAACTGAAATGTCAGTGAGGATTACTCCCTTTCAATACTCAAGTTGTGCTCTGCCTGCATTCTCTCTCAACATGTTATCCTCCATATTCAACGGGTTTTATTGTTTGATCTTTTTAATTTTGTTTTCAGTAGTCACTAGTCAGAATCATGAATGGTCAGTATTTTGTTTTGAATGTGATAGAAACCAACTGATATATAAAAGAAAATAGGAAAAATCCCTTTGATTTACAGAATAATACCGCAGAACTTCGAGGGTCTGCACCTCCCAATGCCAAAAATGGCCTCTTTTCCTATCCAATTCCAAGATGATCAACTCCCCAATGTCTTCCCCTATTTATTCTAGGCCTAAACACTCTGAATTAATATTATAATAATTCTAATAATTACCCACTAACTCATAATAATTTAATAACAGTTACGAAATTGAAGAGTCTAACAGAATGATTGACCTTTATATAACAACAACCAAGCCTTATCCCACAAAATGATTGACCTTTATGCCACTTTTTTTATGCAGCTTTTTATTTGTATGTAGTATACTTTTTATTTGTATGGCCGTCATTTGACATGCTATTTTTGTCATTTGACATGCTATTTTGGAAGTGACACAAATGAAACATGCTAATTACTCAATGATGTTTTAAAACAAAAGCAACTAGAACTAGCTTTTACCTCTTCAGTGTTTGGAATCTTGGTATAGCATTAGCAACTATTTGCTCAATGAAGATTTATAACAAAAGCGACTTGAACAAAATTTTCTTTGCTTGATAGACTGGGTTGTATTATAATGGATAATGGGGGAAATAGTCATTTGGTAACTGATGGAATTTATTCTTCAGGTAATTTTTCCATCTACCCTACTCGGAACCGGTGAAAATTGGACATTAATGAAGACTATTAGTGTTACTGAATACTTGAAGTATGAATCAGGTTAGTAATCTGTTTGGCAATCGGTGAACAATGTATATTGACAGATAGCCGAAGGTTCATTTTGCTGAAGAAAATATTTTATGTTTTAATTTCTTATTTTCTCTATTAATTCCAAAACGGCCAACTTATTTTCATTTTTAGTATCAGAACTATCATCTTGTTTTTATTTTGCTTCCTTTTTTCTAAGACCTGTACAAAAAATGGTGAAAACAGTTATTTTCTTTTTACCGATTTCTATACAAATATTGGATAAGAGGAAACAAGGTGAAAGTATAGGGGCAGTTTTGTAATAAAAAATGAGAACAAAATGTTTTCTGAAACCAAACATGCCCAACATTGAATAAATTAGATGTTTGTGATTTGATCATTTTAAGCAACAATTATACTTATGGTTTCTAGGGAAGTTTTCCAAGAGCAATGGCATCGGAGTATTCGGTAATGATGCGAAAGATACTAATATTCCAGTTGAAGTATGGAGATATTACTTGCTTACAAATAGGCCTGAGGTTAATCCATTTCAAACATATCTTATTTTATACAGCTCTTGAAGATAAACAATGTTCATTTTCTCTCCAGTCATCGAGTACATTGAATATGTTTATGCATTTGTAGGTATCAGATACAGATTTTACATGGCCTGACTTGCAAGCAAAATTAAATAGTGAGTTGCTGAACAATTTGGGAAACTTCATCAACCGAGTTTTGAGTTTCATTGCCAAACCTGCAGGTAGGTTGAGCTCTTTTGTAATTTTTTTCTTGATGTATCTGCTGATTAGTTGCTACAGATATTTAAGAATTACATACGTGAAAGACTATGACTATGAGTATGTTTCTTGGACCTATTGGCAAATGGTTGTCCTTATCATAGTATTTGGGAAGCCAGAAGTTCTATATCTATTCCTTTCTTCATTATCACCGCTATTTATTGAAGTTGATTTTTTTTTGCTACTTTTCATTTAATTTACATATTGTGTTGTAAAGGTCAAGGATATAATTCCATCATTCCCACTGTTGCTGATGATGTAAGCGGTGACTCCCATGATCTAACTAAAAAATTGGCCGATAAAGTTTCTGCATATTTGGATCAATACATAGAAGCAATGGAGAAGGTTGATAATCCCCCTTTTCAATTAGCATGATATTGTAGGGCCTGTTTAATGGTGGTGTTCTTATTTTATTTTATTTTGAAAACTATTTTATAAGACAATTTTTGAAATGTTTTTCATAACAAAGTCGAGAAATCTATTTGGTGATGTTAATTTAAAAACAATTTAAAAGGCGATAAAACAAAAAATCTTGCTTGCTTGGTAAATTTGTTTTGAGAACGTCTTTATGAAAGTGGATCACCATGCAGTGATAGTGGCTGCGGAGGGTGCCAAAGGGCTGAGGCCACGGAGGTTTCCAGATGACGGTGGTGATGGAGGGTGTCAAACTGCAAGATGTCTAGCAGTGGTGGTGGAAGCAGTGTAGGAAAGAAGGCTGCAAGAATATTAGTGGGCGCTGTGTCTCACTAAGGACGACTAAAAGTGTCTGGTGTCAACAGCAGTTGTGGTAGGTGCTGGATGGCAATGGTGGAAAATTTCAGCAGTGACCATGGAGTGTACCAGGTGGCAATGATGGTGGTGGAGGTAAAAGGTGTCAGGTGGAGTGGAGGTTGTAACAACCAAGGAAAAGAAAGAAAATAAAAAACAATAACAACTCTAGGATCTTATTTATAGATAGAAAACAAGAATAAATTTTGTGAAAATAAAAACTGTAATTTATCATGCCTATTATCATAAAAATTCACTTTTTTAAATTTCTAATCGGCTTATTACCACAGTCTAATGATATTTTTTATTCTAAATCTGTGAAGGTTAAACTGAAGCAAGGATTAAAAATTGCAATGAGCATTTCCGGTGAGGGTAATGCATATTTGCAGGTAACTTTGGAATTGCTACATTCTCTACTTCTGTTTCCATCCCACCCCAAATATTCATTAAAACTATTTTGATGTTGATGTTAAATGGCTGTATAAACTGCATCTCAAGCTCTCGTGCAATTTACTTTGTAGGAAACTGCTTTTTGGCGTCTTTACAAGGAAAACCAACCTCTCTGCGCCCTTGTTATGAAAACTGCTGCTGGGATTGCATATCTTCTTGCTTGTTTACTGGAACCTTTTATGCCATCTTTCACTCTTGAGGTAAAATAACCTATAAAACACGGACAACTCTAGGATTACATGTCGGACAATTCAAACAAGTGTCCAAAAAAATTATTGTGTTCTTTTCTTGACACACCTTATACATTTTTTTTATAACAAATTTCAAACACATCTAAAAGAGTTAAAAATGTTTTGACGCAATGTTCATTAATGAAGAGTTAAAGATATTAAATTTGACTAGAACATGGATAAATAAAAGTCAAATACTATCATCATATATGTAGCTGTGTCGCTGTCCTATGATTTTTACATTAGCAGTGTTGACGTGTCCCTGTTGTGTCAGGCGTCTGCGTCGGAGTTTGTTCTTCATAGAAAATAACTTCCCTGTATATACGTGTTCTGTGTTCCTCATTTGTTGGTATTTTGTTTACTTATTCGAAGTCATTGTTGGTACTTCTCTGTTTTCTCTCCCTGAAGGTATTCAAGCAGCTCAATTTGTCTGTAGAGACTCATCTTTCACTTTCTGATGATAAAGATGTTGATAGAGTAAGAAGACCCTGGGATATCCTAAGTGCTGGTCATAAAATTGGAGCACCCAAGCCATTGTTCAGGGAGCTGGTACGTGGACTGCTTTCTGAAATTACTTAATGGATTCAAGTTTGCTTTTGTTTTTGAGTCATTGATGTATTAAAAATCCTTGACCAGAAAGATGAAGAGTTGGAATTCTACAAGAATAAGTTTGCAGGAAGTCAAGCTGATAGGGTTGTACGTGCAGAGGCCGAAGCTGAGAATGTGGCTGAGCAATTGAAGAAAACAAAAGTTTCAGGTGTTTTACTCCATCCATTTCTAACTAGAATGTAGAATATTGGATGGAGAGTACTATAGACAGATGATGAGGTATTATCATATTATTTTCTTAAAAACATGAACTTGAAGAAGAAAAAGCGGAAAAGGTATTTCAAAACTGTAATACTTAAAGAAATCTCTAAACCTCCCAATTAACATGTGACAAACGGCCCTATTCCACAATAAGTAAGTAGCTTGAACAGTTGGACCTTTTATAATTCCAGTACTCCATTTAACCTCATTGCTTACATATTTTATTAAAAAATGTTATATAAATTTGGATACCTAAACTTGACAACTTTTTAAATAGTTAATGCAGTTCACACACACACGTGTTATATAGTAATATAGGTATCACAAGTCACAACTCATTTAATCACGAATTTGAACGCGATTCACCTTGATTTTCAGGTGTTCAAATTCACATGTAGTTGGGACACCTGAAAGTGTGGTTAATAAAGTTCAGTTCTTTTTTGGAATGGCAATAAAGTTCAGTTGTATGTTAAAGAGTAAAAAGTTGTCGAATTTAGGTGTCTCAAATTGATGTAGAAATAACATATTTGTATTTTATTTTCTCAAGAATTCTATAATTGTAATTAATATAGTAATCATTACATATATATTTCGTTTGCTCTAATTTACAAGCTGATCGATTAGTACTTTCAGAATTTATTATTCTTTCAAAGCTCAAAAACCTGGAAGGCATTATGTTATGGCCCTGTTTTTCTTTGTTATTTCCTAAACTACACTTTCTTTGAAAAGAAGCTGTATATATTAAGGTTTTTTTGGTTAATGTAATATGTTGGAGTTATTGGACATCTTGTTATCTGTGTATGTTAGTTATAAGCGTAACAGCTTCAGACTTGATTGTTGCAACAGATGGGAAAGGGAAGAAAAAGTCATCAAATGAAACCAAAAACAAGGCTGCTGCTGAACAGGATATTACCATCACTAGGCTTGATATTCGGGTTGGTCTCATAAAAAAGGCTGAAAAGCATCCTGATGCAGATTCCTTGTACGTTGAAGAGATTGATGTTGGCGAAGAACAGCCAAGGACTGTTGTCAGTGGACTTGTCAAGTATATACCGGTTGATGAAATGCAGGTTACTGTCTGGATCTACTATCTATATTCCCTTAAAATGCAAATTGTGAAGGTACTGTTTTATCTACTGATTAATTAATAAATAATAACTAATTCTAACAACTTTCTTCAGAACCGAAAGGTCTGTGTACTTTGTAACCTAAAGCCAGCAGCTATGAGGGGCATTAAATCTCAAGCAATGGTTCTTGCTGCCTCCAATGATGATCACACCAAGGTAAGGAAAAACACTCGATGCTTTTTCTTTTACAAAAAGGGGGCGGTGGATCCCTTCTAAGTTGTCACTTTAAATTACACAATGACTCTATGGTAATAATGTTGGTAATGTAGCTACATTATTGATTATAAAGATGCAGTTTGATCACACATGTTGGGTGTTTACGATTTTAAAGATGTAGTTTTATTTTGTTTGGAAATGTCTTTTTTCTTCTGGTATTTTTTTTGTTGTGCTTCCCCTCATTGTAATGTGAGAGTAATAGATACTGAAATTCTTATTGCTGTGCACCCTCTAGGTTGAATTGGTTGAACCACCCAGTTCTGCTTGTGTTGGAGAAAGAATTACTTTCCCAGGGCATGAAGGTAACCCCGATGAACTCTTAAACCCGAAAAAGAAAGTTTGGGAGACGTTGCAAGTCGATCTCCACAGTAATGAAGAGCTAGTGGCGTGCTACAAAAATATCCCGCTTACCACCTCAGCCGGGGTTTGCAAGGTTTCATCAATAAGTTGTGGATCAATAAGGTAGACAAACATCAAGGAATGGAGTTCAGAGAGAAAGCGAAAGACTGAAAGACTGAAAGGAAACAGAAAACATTATCTTAGCCCTTATAATCTTACCTGCAGATTTGGCAGTTTTTCATGGTGTCATATTTGCAGAATTTACGTTGAGTAATTTAACTGCCTATTTTTGATGCACTTTGCCATGTGCCAACTTGTTATTATCATTGATTAAAATTTTCATGTTTGGGATTGCCTTTGTTTTACTATTTGATTAAAGTGATTATCTTAGAGATACCTAACCGTCTTACTCTTTCATGCCTCAATGTTATGGCATGGTGATTGGTAGATCCATATCCTCTACTGTTCCTATTAAATTGCAAGAGGTTTTGGCTATTTAAAAATTTAGTTTTAGTTTTATTTCATATAAAATATTTAAATAGATATAATATACTAGCTTCTAAAATAGGAGTTGTTCAAATATTATTATGACCACTTGTATCACTGGATTTATTTTTTTGTTGGTTTTTTTACAACCAAACATCAAGTCTCATAGTATTGCATATCTTGTACTAGGACGATAATAAATTAGGCAATTCCTGATCCCATCTTTGTTATACGAGGTGTACCTTTGAAAATCACAAAATGTTTTTGAGTAAACTTGGACATGTATCTCTATACGTACTAAATATCATTTAAAAAAATTTAATTTGGAGATGCAACACCGGATTCCCCAATGGTAAATTTGGACTTGCAACTCCGAAGACACTTTTTATAAATGAGATTTTTTTTACCCTAGTGATATTTTCAGAAATGTATTTTTGAAAATGTTTGGCAGGAATTTGAGTATTGACCACATTGGCATGATCATCTTCCTCACCCTTTCGGACTCTTCCATTTCCTCCATAAAAAAATCTTTGAAATTTTTTTTTCATTATCAATCAACTTTTTGATTCAAAATTAGATTTTGTGTATTTTAACACATCAAAAAGGAGGAGCATCATAAGTTGCAATTCAGACAAACTTCTCTCATTTCATTGCTTGTATCGATCCTTTATTTGAGTTGAAAAACGTTCACTTCGTTCAGAAATGCATTTCTGAACTAACCTACATTATTTCAGAAATGTATATCCGAATTCAGTTGTTATTGATTTTTAATTTTTTGTTGTTGTTTTGCTTCTTATTAAACATGAATCACTTGGATATTTTTTCCAAAATAAATGTGCTAACGAAGTTAATTTTTCCCAAAACATGAATCACTTGTTTTGCTTTTTGTAAGAAAGGATGTAGAGAAGGATAATGTTAAGCCATTTCAAGTTAAGCAGCATCTTAAATTGGAAAAGTGAAAGATGATGTTAAAGTGATAGAGATAGACGATCAATATTTCATAAATAAACAACTGTATACTGCTCGCGAACATATAATTCAATGGGTCCGCATGATAACTATGAATTTGGGATTTGACATTGTAATTGAAAGGTTCGACAATAGTTCAAATAGAAGATAACCATTTGTAACCATGATATGCGAGAGAAGTGACGCATATGTTCCCCCGATTAAGAAGTTGAAACGTGATGACACCGGAATGAGAAAATGTGATTGTCTGTTTAAACTGCACGAATATTGTAGCGTCGATGAGATGTGAAAATTTAATGTGCTTTCTAGAATACACAACCATGGAATACATAACCATTTAATGTGCTTTTTGTAAATTAAACGTGAGATATATTCGAATATGAAATTCCAAAACTTTACCTGATACAAGATAAGAATTTTGAGCTCTAAAGTGACCCAATACTTGTATAAATAAGGTGTGTCTCAACCCTAATTTGCACCAACACACTAAAATCTGAGATGTTAGATCCATGGTTTTAGGATTGACATCAATTTTTCTAAAACATGGTTCATGATGTAGGAAGGTTGCTGTGCGTATCGAAGAAGATATTATGCGTCAGAAAACATTTTAATATTTAAGAAATTTCCATTTTATTCGTTTATTTAATTCTGTTTTGGATTAAAGGCCCATAAGATCCATTAGAGTTATTTTGTTTTATGTATTTAAAGACCTTTGGCATGACCATAAAGGTTATCTTTCATTGTAATAGAATCTAAAGTTTTCTTTGTGTTGGTGGACTCCAACTTATATGACAGGTTCAACCTTGTAATTTATTATAGGTTTTGCGCTTGCAAACCGATTCCTTTATTCTAGGTTTAGTGCTTGCTAATCCCTAGGGATTTCGACTGCGTCAGTTGGCATAAGAGCATGTTTTTTCCTGTTCTTTTCGTAGCTTGACAACCATGGCGGATCAACTAATAACCAGAGAAAATCTTGAGGGAATTACCATAGCTTTTACTGTGGCTCTAACTGCTTTGACTGAATAGATGGCGAATTCAACAAATCAGGTGAACAACAACAACAACAATGTGAATCACTGAAGAGACAAGGGAAGAGAACACGTTAGGGTTCCACGGGATGGAAACAATCATCACACTGTTATTGTTGACAATTCAAGTTCAGAAGAAGAAGAACAAGACGAGGAAAAGGTCTTTGATCATGGAAATCAACATAACCATGATTATCGGGTGAAGGATGATATTCTATTATTCTATGGAACAATGAGAGTGGAGGAATTTCTGGATTGGCAGATTGACGTTGACAGGTTCTTTGATGTTATGGCCGTTCCCGAGAACAAGCAAGTCAAGATGATTGCAATCAAACTTAAAAGAACTGTAGTTGTTTGGTGGGATAAACTTGTTGTCCAAAGACAGAGGCAAAAGAAAGGGCCAGTCAGAACTTGGCGAAGAATGAAACAATTAATGTTGAAGCGAGTTTTACCAGAGGATTATAAACATATTCTTTATAAGATGTACATCGAGTGTGTTCAGGACAAGAGAGCTGTGACTGAATACACAATTGAGTTTCTGCGGTTTTCTGAGCGTAATGAATTGGGAGAATCAGAGAGCCAAAAAGTGGTTCGATACATAAGTGGCCTAAAGGGATCCTTGCAGGAGAAGATGGGTTTACAAACTGTATAGACCATAGCTGAGGCATCCAATTTAGCTTTGAAGGTAGAATTGATGAAAAAATCTCCTCTAAATTTCTCGTCTTTTAGAAGTTACTTACCCCAGAATAACTCAGAATCAGCAGGCGACAAAGAAAAAAGTGCAACTCCCCGGGATTCCAACCTTGGGAATAAAAGGGCTAGCAGCTCTAGCAGTGTGCAGAAGGGTAAAGCGTGAACTCAAATACATAATAATCCCTATGCTAGACCCACTGTAGACACATGCTATCATTGTAAGGGAAGAGGCCACAAATTGAATGTTTTCCCAACAAGGAGAGTTGGTGCTGTTGTGGAAGAAAGAGAGGAAGATAAAGAAAGATAAGATCTCGAAGTTGAGAGCGATGAATATGCCAATGTTGAGTTTGTAAGAATAAGATTTAGTTCTGCAATATTAGCTATGAGTTTTGATGATGACAAATGAGTATGTTTATATGAACAATTTTGATACTCTAATGTTTGTTATTGTTGAGTACTTAACAAACAGGTTATGCTTCTGATGGATGGCGTGGCCAAGACATTAGAAGAGAATTGATTTCGCTTCCACGCTACACAAGTTCTATTGAACAGTGTCAAGACACTCCAGAAGGCTCTAAAGTGTAAGCTCTGATGTTTTTCTAAAGAAACCAGTCAGAAGATCTGAAGACAGAAGTTTCTACTTACGTCCAGATGCTGAAGACTCAAGCTTCTAAAGACAAAGTGTTCTAAGGAAACGGTCAAAAGATCTGGAGACTCAAGTTTCTACTTACTTCCATATGCTAAAGACTCAAGCTTCTAAAGATAATATATTCCAAAGAAACAAAGTTAGAAGATCTAAAGACAAAGGTTCTAGTGAAGTCCAGATGCTGAAAACTTTTGTTTCTAATAACAAGGTTCTTAAAAGGATTCTCAAGACCAAGTGCTGAAGATTCTAAAGACGCAACTCTTAAGACTTTGAAGACTTGAAGCTCTTCTGACCCAAGGTTCTCTACAATGGGTTCTCACGATCAAGTGCTGAAGACTCTGAAGACACATTTCTGAAGACTCTTAAGACTTGAAGTTCTGAAGATCTTATGTTATGTTCCCGCTTCTAAACTCATGCTCGAAGAAGCCTCTGAAGTGCATGAAACAACCGGCTGAACCGTCATCTGATATAAAATCAATGAAGTCGCCACCGAACATCTTTTATCCCGCCGAAAGGGAAAGGTGAATATCGAGAAAACCTGAAGAGGGTGAAATCACGGTCTTGCGACCATAAAGATTGGATAAGGGAGTCGGTTACGCGAGGGGAAGGTATTAGCACCCCACACGTCCATAGTAATCTACGGTATCCACTCTTGTTTGTTCTAATCTAAGGGTGTGAAAAATCTATGTCTAAGCTTAAAAGCTAAAAGGGAATGCATGCAAAAGAAAAGAGAAAATAATGTAGGGAAAATAAAAATTGTGCTCGTTTGGGCCCTACTCCAATGCCTACATATCCCTTTTAAGGAATCAGAGCAACCGTAGTTCGGCTCACATATTTTGATTGGTTTGTATTTTTTAGTTAAGAAGAAAAAAGCGATAATTAAGTTGGCAAAACATCAGATAAAATGACAAAACATCAGCAACAATGATAAAACATCAAAAGGAGGACGACAAGACATCATATGGTAACACAAAATCAGGTAAGATGATAACACATCAGCATGATAACAAAATATCGGCTAAGATGATAAAACATCACACCTAACAATGATATCGAAACTAAAAGTAGGATGACAAACATATGCGATGACGAAGCATCGGAAAAAAGACAATAAAATATCATGGCAAAGATGACAATACATCAAAACTTAGATGACAAAACATCACACCTAACAATGCTATTGAAGATCAAAGTAGGATAACAAACATATGCGATGGCAAAGCATCGACGAAAAAGATAGTAAAATATCATGGTAAGGGGACGAAACATTACAATTAAGATGGTAAAACATCACACCTAACAATG